GGTAGATCTAAAGTAGAAATATTAAATTAAGTATTCAAATGATAAAACATTATAATATAAAAAGATAGATTTAAGTTTATCAACATTGTTTTAAATTGAATAATTATTAGTTGATATTAATTATACTTTTTGTTGTCTGTAGATTCTTCATTTGAATCAACATTATTCATTATGCATTATATATTTATTTAAAAAAGATGCTTTAATAGAATTTATATAAAAAGAGAATATTTATATATCCTTTTTCGAACTTCTATATCAGTAGAATAAGATAATGTTAAAGAAATAAGATGAAACTTCTCATTTGATAATGATTTAATATTAAAGTTGTAAGATTTTGCTCATAACTAAAAGAGAGGTTTAGATATTTTTAATTTTACACCGACATTTGATAATAAAAAAGAAAGGAACTTTAGAACTTTATCTTATAATATAGCTCTTTCATTTGAATAAGAAAAGAAACAAGAATTTAGGTAGAAACTAAACTACAAAATAAATTGATGAAAGGATTTCATAAATAACATTGACAATAACAAGAAATGCTCATTAATATGAGAGAGAAGTTAAGCTAAGATTGCTGAAGTTCTTTCATAGTTTTAGATCGTAAAAAATTAATTAGAATAAGAAAGGAGATTAAGGAAAAGTTTATTAGTAGTGAAAAAAGTAAGAGAAGAAAAATAAGGAAATATATTCAGAATGATTGAAGATATGCATGGTAAATTACAACAAGATATTTCAATTGAAGAAGGGAAAGAGAAGCTCTAAATGTGAGGCATTATTAATATTATTTGAAGATGCTTGTATCAAAATAGACAAAAATTTTAGATATTGATATTATTTTATTTATGTCTTAAGGAATTATTTTACATATATAAATAATTATATTAATTATTTATAATTATAATGGTTCTATAAAATTGATGATATATCATGCCTATTCTTTTCCAACTTAGAGCTCAAGTTCATCAATTCTTCTTTATAATCCAAGAATTTGTTATTGTAAGGTAGTTTTCTCTCCTTTGAGAACAGTAATTTACTCTTATAATCTAGAATTCTTTTCTTTCTAATGAGCAAAATGTCTATTTTTATTAAGTTATAATTACCTTATAAGTTTTTCTTATATTCTCACTTTTTATGGAAATTCAACTCATTCTAAGTGCCTTTAATTGTTTCCTGTAAGAAAATATATAATCAGTTTCATTTCTTCCTAACTCATTAATTTACTCTTCAATGGGATTTTAAGATCCTGCAAAACTTTGACCTGTCTATCCAAAATCATTTCCTTTGGTAAGTATATTTCCAACTGACTTTTTGCTCATAATTGATATTGAATGTATATTTAGAAATTAGAATTCTCATAATTGATTAATAACATGTTATAAATTCATCACATTTTTAATTTTAATAACTGTTTTATCAATTCATTTTATTAATATTACAATCACTACATAATAATATAAAATTATAAATAAAATTGTAGAATATTTATAAAGTATCAAATATTAATTTTAAATCCTTAACTTATTACTATCTTATGGATAATTTATATTCATTTCAATATAAAAAATTCTGTATGATTTTTCTCTTAGGTCTTCTACATATTGTATTTATTTTAAAAATCAAGTATTATTATTAAAATAAAGAGCTAATCCAAGTTAACTTCCAAATCCATATAGGAATCGATCCATTTTTTTAAATAGTGATACAATCAAAGATATCCTGAAATAATCACCTAACAAAAAATAATATTGTAATTTAATTCGTTATTTCAAGCCAATTGTGAAGGATAATAACGTGATACAAAATATGGGACACAATACACCAAAAATATTTGTCTTCAGATGATACTACCACTGGGTAAAATTTATTTATTTATTATTTGAAACTCTAACAACTAATGTAATTTATTTTAGGCATCTTTATAATAGAAATTTTTAAATCAGCATGAGAACGATTTTATTCTAGAAAATCAGATAGTATTATGAAACATGATTATCGAAGAAGAAGGAGTAGTTTAATTAAGTGATGATATTTAGACTTCAGTCTAGACTCTTGAGTCTGTGGAAACTAATTACTTCACTTTATGAATTTTTTGATATTTATATTTTAAATAAAAATTCACTTTAAGATAATTGTTTTTAACTGCTTCATTTTATTTATATGATAGGATCAATATAATATTTCATTAACTCCAGTTTCGAAGTATCAACTACATCCTTATATTTCATATATACTAATCTTAATTGAATAAATTAGAGTTTAAATCTTTAATATTTTATTATGATTATTAATCATTAAAATATTTATGAAGAAAATTTTATACTTAGCTTTTGCTTTCGTTTGTATTGTAGAATTCATTGCTTTCACCAATGAAATTTTAGAACATGTTATTAAAAGAGTAAAAAGACATGATATTTGGGGACCAACATTCAAATATAAATATGCTGATAACAAAGTTGAAATATGTGGATGGGTTTCTTAAGGATGACACACATTGGTAATGTTATTCATAATGATTTATGGAAATTTGATTAACCAGAATTAGTGGATAAAAATCTGAAGATGGAGATAAATTACATATTCCAGGATGTACCAAATATTGATTTAGATTTATATTATTACATTATAGATCATTATTATAATCTTTGCTTTAAGCTATCAAATTTTAAATAGTGTATACATTGTTAATAATTGTAATCAATATCACAAGATTTATTAAAAAGATGATAAATGGTTAATTTTATTAGTGTAAGATCTACTCATTAAATAAAATTTTAGATAATCTTACTTCAAATTTTATCTTTGTTATAATATCTATTGACATAAAATATTAATTATTTTAGAATTAAATTCTGTAATTATTTCAATATTAAATTTTTTAAATTTATAAATACAGGGTTTAATTCAATAATTTAACTATCACCTAATATTGAATTCAAGTTCTAATATTCAAAACTAATTAATACTAAGTCAAGCAGAATTAAATATATATGGTATTAAATTTTATTAAATTTTTGCTTTATTTAATATTCATTATAATTTATAGATTCTAATATTTTAACAATTGATTAGAAATATCAACAATAAAATGATATAAAAATAATTCCAAATAATTTATTCAATGAAAAAATAAAACTTAAATTAATTGATTAAAGTGATATTCTATTGTGATAATTAATTATGGAAAAGATAATCTATAGAATATGTATTAAATTTTCACAATAAGATAGATTGTTATTAATTAATATAATTTTCAATTTCAAAAGTTAATTGATTTCAAATATTTCTTTTTTACTATCTAAATTACAATTAAAGCAAAACTTTATTAGCATTACTATTATGTAGTGCCTTTCTTTCTATATTCTTTTCTCCTTCTCCCATTTTAAACTATTTCAATATTCCAGCTGCTTTCTACCCTTTAGAAATCCTTTAAAAGATAGCTCTCCTTTTAAGTATATATGTAAGATAAATGTATTCCCATCATTCTTCAATGAGTTCCTTTGTCTAAGTTTCTAAGTAACTCTCTATAAAAATTAATAGATTAAAGTAAATTAATATATTTAGTATTCATAATTAAAAAATTATAGGAAATCATTTTGGGGGCTTTTTGGATCAGCATAACTTTGAACAAATTATATATGTAACACATTCACTTTATGATAAGAAGAGAAATTTATAAAATATCATTTTCCTTTGATAATAATTTCTAATATTTCCGGGTTTCTATTCATTTTTCTTATATAAAGATGATGCATACTGAAATTTCTACACTTTTTAATTCAATCTGAAATTATTAATAATAAGGTAGTTTTATTTTAAATATGTAAATCACATAGCATTCAGTATTATTGTTTTTTAACTTTCCACTTTCTCCATAATAAAAATGCTCACATTTAGTAATCAGAATGTATAAATGAATTTAATCTAATAAAATAAGTTTATAAAAATCTAATTGATAATAATTTATTAGCATCTTGAGTCTCTGTACTGTATTTATTAATTTCCATAATTCTTATGATATACCATCTCCATTCACTAAAAAAAATACAATTGAGTTTATTTACTATACTACCAAAAGGAATTACTACATCTCGAAGAACTTGATTTGAACTTAAATTAACTAATTCTTTTATAACATGAATTATATTGAGGCTTAAACATATTTAGGTATTTTTGTATCCATTTCTATTTATTATAATAATGATTTAAAAAAAGAATGTGCAAAATCAATCATCACTTATTATGTCAAGAGTTTATATATTCAATAATTTTTGATTTCTTCTAACGAAACTTCAAAAATGGATAATATCATTGAATATTTAAATAAGAAATTTTCAAAAAATAAAATTTTTTATTATGGCTATCATAAAGATTTACAAATCCAACTATAATATTTATATAAGAATCAAAAGCTTATTTTATCTTTAAAAAAATAGGACCTAAGACAAGATAAAGAATTTGAAGTTTAACAAAAAAATTTTTAATATTAGATAAAGGATTTAAAAATGTTGATAAATTCTTCAGTTAACCAAAAGCCGCCCTAAAGCTTAGGTTTATAGAAATAAGTTTATGAAAAAGTTATTTTGAATCTAGTAAAAATGATATAGAAATTCATTAAAAAAAAGAATAAATTAATAATTCTGATAACATATAATAGTTTTATCCTAAAATTGCGGAATTTTTCTAGAATGCTAATTCAAAAATGCTATTAATTAATTTAAAATCTTATTTTAGAATATTTAGAAATTTTATAATTTAATGGAATGTATAATGTATTTTTATTCAGTTTTTAGTCGCAATCTGAATTTCTCCAAAATTATTGAGTGATAAATTCTTAATTCATTTGTTTATTGGGATTGAATTCTATTTATATTTTTTCAAAAATTCATACTTGCCAAATAGTCTTAGAATGAATATGA